AAATGGAAGGCTTGGTACGCTTAGGTGGATATCAATACCGGATTTGAACCCGTAATCGTGCATGTGAGGTAATCCGCCCCTAGCCACTCCACACTGCCCCGGTAGTACTAGCATTCCTATGTGCTGCATCATTCCTCCATTATACCGAACCAAATGGTTCACAAGCAAAGCATCTTGAAAATGTTCGAGGGCGACAGTTTGCGAGAATCTTCAAACGGCTGGCAATTTTTTAATGTTGGAATCCGGTTCACTGTTCTTGAATCCGATGTTTTGGAATAGAACTTCGGTCACGACATTCGGGAGTGGAATCTGAACTCTGCCTCGGCCACTTACTATTTAAGTTCGCTCTCACCTCCGACACACCCACCCAGACCCACCCAAACATTTACTTAGAAGTCTTCTGGCAGTATACCTACGCCCGAAGAAGACGGAAGGTGACGTTACTGGCCCCGCTTGAGGAAATCGACGTTCAACGGGAGTACAGGTGTTACAGGTGATACCTATTTCAGGTATCAAAAAACAGAGGGTAAAAAATTGGAGGAATTAGATAGGTTAGAGTCCTTTTCTTATGGATTTGATTACAAACAAAGATAACTCAACTGAAAACAGTTGGTATTCCCAAAATAGGCCCCTACTCTCCCACGCTCATACTCCTTCATCTACTCTGCTGGTGTACATGGGGTATGTCGTTATTGTTGTAGTAGTTTTTACGCACATCATGGAGGATCATCTTGAATGGGAGTGATAAATGGGCTTGTGAGGCAGACAAAAACACGGCTGACGATGCCATATGGGGTGTTGATAGGTGGAACAACAGCTTAGAAAGTTTGCATCAAAGGCTCAAAACCGATTCGGTTCAGAAGAATGAAGAGAGGATGAATCAAGAACAAAAAAGCTCGATGAAAAAGACTCTGACCCGACGAAAAGTCCTCAAAACTTCGAAATGCTTTCTGAAAAGGGCGTTTTTAAAGCGAGAAGGGTGCACTCAGAAAAAACTGAAGCTGTTCTTTTTTCCAGGAACCACAACGGCTGGATCAAAAAAAGACGGAGAAATCATCCTAAAATTGCTCCCTCAACTGTCTGGCAGATAAGCTGAGAGGAATTTCCGTAACTGCACTAATTTGTACAGGATTAGCAGAGAGCGAACTTTCAGAAACTTCGGAAACGACAAACTCATCCGGCTGACTAGCTAGAAATCGAAGTGGAAAATGTGTTGGACATGTGCCGCTTAGCATTAGCCAGAGAGGATTTTTTTGCCTGGAAGAACTTGTGCTTGAAGAGCTCCTCAATAGAGAAGACTCCGGAGCAGGCGTTGAGGGGTCCAAAGAGACTAGAAATGTAGCAAAGAATCTTGTAGATTGGGAAAAACAAGCTTTGATAAATCCAATCCTTTCGATTTCAAAATGAGAGGGCCCCAAACTCCATTTGGAAGTGATAGACTTTTGCACACAGTAACTTCCAGCTGGAAAAGATTCGTGCGAGTCCGTCCCAAGTTGCTGGTACTCCACGTCGCGGTGATCAACGCCCAAGTCGGCGTAGTTTGGTAAATTACGCCGTGCTCACTACTTGGCCATGGACCACTATAGACAGAGGTTTGACATTCTTCCAGAGATAATAAGAGACTTATTCTTTCGGCGTTGATCGATCTTGTTCGTCGACCTGCATTCCACATTTATTCAGATTCGCAGTAGTTTCTCGGAAGTTGTCCCCTCTCACAAAAGTCCATAATCATAAATGACAGTGGAATGCAGAAATTTCAATCCGACGACCGTAAATAGGGAATGACCGGAAAGTTGTCAAGAAATGGGACAGTGTACTATAAACAATCCCGTGATGGCCACTACATAGGCCAGAGCGGATAGTGATAAAGGAAAATGGAAATGAAAAAAGACTGGACATCCTTGTCATTAATCGGTCCCGAATAAGACAGTATACTACTCACGAACAATCTATGGCATTTTCAATGAACTATAAAGAGCTAACTAGTTGAGTAATTCATGTCGAATTCGGGAATGGTTATATTTCAATCTGATTAAATCGTAAAAAATATCTGTATTTCTACAGGATTCGTCCAAGTAGGTCCTTTAGGAACACAGGTATTTTTTTACGATTTAATTAGGTTGAAATAGAACCTTTCCCAAATTCGACGTAAGATAATTAATTAGTTAGTTCTTTACAACGATCCCTAAGCCCTACATAAGAATAATGAAAGCTTTAGAAAGTGCTTCCTCTACAGCGGAATTTTCTGGAATATTTCCAAATCTAAGCAGAGAGTACCGAAATTTGTGCAGTACGAAAAAACGGTATTTACGGTAACGGTAACGGTAACGGTATAACATATGTATGTACATAGCTGCAGTTAAGGTAAGGATTGGTCTTTATCAGTATTGATGAAACCATCTACAGAAGGAAAGCTTTTCAACACGACAACATGTAGCACCTCTGAGAATCAATGCCAGAGTCACAAAGTAAATTTGCTTCTACCAGTCGATCGTAATTTAATTCACACAAGTTTTTGCAAAACCACTTTGGAGAAGATTTTTCGAGAAAGTTACCTCAATATGAGAAAGTACTTGTGATCTGTGAGAAAAAAGTGCTGTCTGTTTGCACTATCAAGAAAAGTAGCGAATGGCGACAAAAATATTGAAATCGCAAGAACACTTGAAGGCACACCTCATGGTTAGAGTCAACTGTAGGATGAACTGTGGCTTCCCAGGATAGCACGTGGAAAATTGTTGGGTCGAAAAACGGCCTCGAAAGGGAGTCGTAAGGACTTGGAAACCGGCTTTCCCGATATAAACACTCAGAGTAGCCATGTTATTGCGACCTTGTTAAGGCTATACCACTCCCAATGAAGCATAAGAACGCCGACGAATAGCACGCTTACATGGTGGACACCTAGATGGATAGGGACCCATAATCTCGTAAAACCTCCTTTCGTAGCACTTTTTGCACCCTCATATTTCTAAAGCGGTCGGTTTTGGCGCTTCCTTCACCATTTATGCACTGTCCTACACCATGGTTCCCATTATTTCACATAAGCTAGATGCTTCAAAATTATCCTTGACTATGCATTCGAAAAATAACTTTCAAAAAACTACGGTAGAATTCTGGACTCTCAAAAAATTTCCGTGTTTCTGTCAATATGGCTGTGGTGCTTCCCAGGATTTTTTTCTCAGTGAAGGGAAAAAAGAATAAAGAAACGATCAACCACATAGACCAATTTGAAGACGTTCCAGACAGCACGCTTGGGTTTCCTTATCCTGAAGAAACATCCTTCTCTATGTTCGAATACGAACGAATACGAACGTCAAATGTCGTTGTACGGATGAAGTAAGCAATCGAAGAAAGCACTGGGTTTGCAAAAAAGACAAGGAATAACGTTATCGTTAAGCCGACAATCAATTGTAGGGCAAGCCCCAAATCCTAAGTCAAACCGAAGAAAGCTCACAATAAGACGGCATGATGTTCGAAGACCAAGAAACAGCGATGAAACTAACACAGCTCTCAGTCGTGACTGAACGACAAAGAACCTCTGAATCCTCAAAGGCTACGGAGAATATCACCGTAATCACTGAACCGACAGTGAGGACAACCAGAAACAAAAGCAAACCAAAGTCCTTAGCAACTGTAATGAAAGGAGGTGGCAGTACTCGGAAACCATTCCGGGGAAACTACTAAACCCAGCCAAAACATCAATGAATTCATTGTCACGTCCTCCTGTAAGATCGCTTCAATTCCTAACTCTGCCCACTATTAATAGAGCTTAGCGATTAGGCTAGAACTGTAAGGACTTCCATGTATTGGGTTGTCGAAGCCGAAAAAGTAATTAGCCTGCCTTCCTATAGCCCAAGTCTGGAGGGCTTTTGCAAAATGAGGAAGTAATAAACCTAGAAGAAATAAGCGAATTTTTCCGCGATGTTCGATTTCCTCCTCGAAGCTTTTGCTGAATCAGCGAAGATTTCCGAACAAATCAACAACAGCTTTGAGACTTGTGAAAGACAAGGCAACAATCGCAGTAGCAATAAACCATGTACCGTGGCACCAAAGTTGTAAAGCATATCAATTGCAACCTCGAGCGGCCACTAGGATTCAACTGAGCTTTGTATTTGTCAGACGGAGATCACCAGGGGACCATATAGCCAACAAAGCTTGATTGAAAACACGGGTGTAGCACAAAGAACTGGTACAAATACAGATATTTGGCAGCGCCGCTCGGAGAGACCAACCGAGATATTGGGCTCTAATTACTGAACATCTCTTTCACATGGGGAAGAGAGGCTACCTTAGGAATCTGTTACGGCGTCGACTCAACTCACAAACATTGGAGTTTCTCGTCTTGATAGCTGAGCCAGTGGTGACCCGAAGTTGACAGTCATGAATGCGAAGGTGTGTTTCTGACGCCAAGACTGGGGAGAGCATTCAAGGCCTACCGAAGTATGGCCATCAACAAGGCTAAGACGACATGTTTCCTCCTCCTAACGAAACATATACTGCATCTCGAAGGACAATTGACAAAGCCTTCTATAACTTCAGCTCCGTTCTATTTGATGGTCAGCTCTACCTGTCCACCGCCAGCAGGCGGATGGATATTTCACTAGTACAAGTCTTCCTCCCGAAATTCGACATGCTATCACGCCCGTAAAGAAACAAGAGCGCTCGGTCCTGACAGGGAAATGAGCACCACAACAGTCGCGCCTCTGCCGCGTGTTTCTGCCCGTAATGAACCTTCAAGGCCAGACTTGAGGGCGACAGGGTTCACCTTTTGCTCCAACGGCTTACAGTGGACTGTTCTATGTGTTGTGTGGAATAACAAATAAATAAACTACATTTATTGATTGACTATGATTATTCATTCACAGTAGTGACATGCCCTTGGACACACTTCCATCCTGAATCGTTCCGGGAAGTAGTCCCTTGTGCAGAGTCCGTTCATAACGTAAATTGGGCATCTAAAACCTGCGCTTCAGCTCTATGGAAGAGAAAGTAAAGGGCAATTCTTACTTTGGTTGATCCACACATCTGCGCCCTGATTTCCGGAAATCCATGATAGCGGAGGTAGATGTGGTAGTGGTTGGGGTTGTGGCGACAGTAGTGGTAGGAAATGGTTTAACTGTCTGGTAAGTCGGACGAGGTTGGCTCGGATCAACTGAAACAACCTACTAGTATTTGCATAAAATGGTAGCAACTACTCTGACTCACCAGAGCGATATCGCAGAACCACTTTTGTTAGATGGGCCCTGTTGTACGTAATTATAGGGACTCGGTTTGTGTAGGAGCGGAGAGTGATTCCTTTTGCAAAGGGGGAGCAAAACCTGAACAAACACTTCTCTTAGCTTAGTATTTGAAAAGATCAGTGAGCATATTACGTTCACATTCAAACTGTACGCATTACACATTGTACCTGTAGCCTGTGAGTTGCTGATTCTTGTTTGTTTTGATTTCTACGCCAGCGTATGGGCACCCATCGGTATCGTACTGATTATATATTTTCAAAATCTCAACTTCAATCTCGGTTCCATTGGGAGACTAAAAAAGTCATTGGTTACCAAGCATATTCAAGTGCTCCGTATAAATTTCGTTGTTCATTAGAACATATTTCTCTGGCTTTTGAATTATGAATTTGAATTGAGTCGAGTGGCCGCAAGAGAGTTCACCACAATGAGGACCAATGGTAAAGGGGATGCTCACTTGAATCCAGTAGTTGCATGTGCTAAAATCGACCCTGGTAGAGAAGCTGTCCTTGTCACCTATGGAATCTGTGAGGTTTTTCCACTCGGGCGATGCAGTTACTGTACTTCCGCATCCGTTGTCCGGCTGAAGAATTCAGTGATATTTTATTCTTCCCCAAATGCTTCCGAAGATCCATTTCCCTACCCTCTCAGTGCAGCGAACGCCACTATAACCACGCGGGCAGACGCACTTTTGACAGTTGAGCGGATGAGGGTAACCACCATTTTCGCAAGTCACCGATTTAGTCGGGGGAGCGCATAGCTCTGAAAAGATTTGTAATGAACTAGATGGAGTGGTGTTCATGAATCTGAGCCGAGCAGGCAATCAGCAGAATTTTCGCTTTAACATATAGGTAATCATGAGAATCCATTCACAGATTATCTTGATGTTATAGCCCCACGCTCCACTTATTCATCCTAATTTTCAGCTAGTTCTTTGCTGGTTTTCAGCGTCACGACACAAGTGCAGTTTTTGAATCAAACTGCGAGAAATAAAAATGTAAAGATGGTCACTAATCAACAATCCGGTTTTCCTTGAAGACCTAGGAAGACTGCTTCCGGGGAGGTTTTCAAAAGTTTCCGCGCACTAACTTTTGCATCCGTAGAGCTCGTTGAGTATTGACACGTCGATGAATGACACGAAAGGTGATCCGAGAGTGGCCTGATAGTTGATGTCGTATGGCACCATTGTCGGCTTCGAAACATTGATCGCTCCACTGTCAAATAGGGTTCATGAATGAAGAAAATAAACAGTGTAACTCAGCTTGTCATACATATAGAATACAGTGAAAGCTTATGAGCGCACAGGTTTTGAAGCTCGTCCCTGAATAAGAAGTTGCAGGATAAATTAGTGACCCCTTTCCCTCCACAGATGGTTCGTCGATTTTAAAGCTCATTCTATTGACGAGTGCAGGAGCAGCGTGCCGCAGAACCTTCCGACAGCAGGAGGCGCCCGAACAGTGAATGTACCCCTAGCAATACTGAAATGAGATCCTGCACTTGGAACTAATCACATAGGCTAAACTGGTTTTTGCGAAAGGACTAAATCACCGGATTTGAACCGAGACGTACACTCCATTTTTTATTGTCAGGCCATAATGTATAACCGCTCTCTGCCTTTTTATTTTTAGGTGCTCGATCCGAAAGAATAACGTACTTTATGCCAGGATAGTGCATGATGCTGCCGTAATCGTACGTTAAATTAAAGTTATCGTTCGTCTCCGGTGTCTTCCTAATGTACTCCTTTGCCATGCAACGTTAAAAGCTGCACTTTAGAACAGTTTTTCCATCCCTCCTTTTGAAATTTACCTTAATATTCTCTGTATCCAGCGTGATAAATTTGTCGCGGTCATACCTAGATTGGGTGTGGTGGAACCCAATGACATGGCCCAGCTCATGAGCAGCAATTGCAACCGA